TGGGTGGTGCATAAGAAACAAATGTAGGGAAACATACATAAAAAAAAAAAAAATATATATATATATTTATTCACATTTTATTCTATGTCATAGAGGACGTCAGGACTAAGTTATTAAAATAAATAAATAAATGGACATGAAAAGGCATGTATAGGCAAAAACAATGATTTATTTATTTTTTTCATTCACCAATCAGTTTTTAGGTTTCCGACTATTTTTAACCAAACTTTGTACAAAGATGTTTCTCAACTATGTTATGAAAGATATAACAGAATGATTTGATATAATATTTTGCTTTATGCAATATGTGAGTAAAATGTCAATAAATTGATATTCCCATTTTATTCAATGTATCTATACACTGCACCTAATTTGCATGTGTTCATGGGGCAAACCGTAATGAAAAATGAAGTGTTATAATGGGAGTAATAACTTTGCAACATTTTCGTAAGAATATCTCATATTTCATAGGAATATTGATCTATAATTTCTTTCCCTATTGACTTGTTGTGTCTCCCCAAAATGCCTGATTGACATGCCGTTTGTCCTGGTGTCCTCTACAGAAGGCATGTGTGAAAATGATGCCCACGTTTCATAACAAAACGTCAAATTCCGATTTGAAACCCCATAACATTTTTCTGAAATATTTATTTACGACAAACAATTTGAAAATTAGTCAGATTTAAATTATAATGACAAAATATTATCATATTTCCCTAAGAGCGCTAAATTGGATCATTCTGTCAATATCAGTCATTTTTAAAGAACAATGAGAAGGTGTGTTTATGATCAAACCTCGAAACATTTGATATCCCTAAAAATCCCTGAATGTGTTCTGTACAGGACATCCAGACTTAAAACTGTGGCATGTATGGTCTCAGAGAAATTCATTAAAATATAATGTCCTCTACAGAGGACAAAAGCCTATGCCTGGGTCCCAGGAGGAATATATCCGCACATATTTTAGATTGACAGAAAATTGCAAGAGGAATTTAAATTTTTTAGTTGGTTTTATACACTGGCGCTTTTTTGCATTTGCATTCTTTACGTTTAGATTTGCATTTCCAGTGTTTTTTGCAAAGCAAAAAAAAAAGACCTATGGAGTCAAAACAGAGCCACATATGGGAATTTAAAAAAAAATCTGTATGCAAATAAATGTAATTATGTAATTATGATGGCATCACTGAATAGCAAAAATTCAGTCAATGTCAGTGGAAGATTTTTTTTTCAAATTTTGAACTTTGAAGTAAAAAATTATAAATATAAACCAAAAATAGATAGCACGACTAAAATGGCAGTCTCCAAAACAAAGATTTATTGCAAGATAAAAATGGAAAATATCAAAACACAACAATCCTAGTGTTATCCTAAGCTGTGCTGCATATCTGAAATTGTCTTGGCAAGTCTGGTGTTGTTGTCAAACTCTTTACAAAAAAATTAACTTAAATGATTTTAGCAAATGGCTGCAATATAACAAAGAGTGAAAAATTTAAGGGGGTCTGAATACTTTCCGTACCCACTGTATATCAACACAGGCAGAAGAGCACATGCAGGGGTGACAGGGGTGATATGGTGAGACATGTCAAGCTAAATTGGGTGTGCTTACAACAGGACCGCAGCCATAGTATGCTATTCTTAGCTGTCAGTCTTAGGGGAAGCTGAGACCTGTCTATATTTGTGTCTTCAGATGACATATTGACATTGTTTTCAGGTTGACCTCTCAGTAGCAGACTGGACGGGTGAGCACTTGCACCTTATGAGGGCTCATTAACATTATGATGGACACTCACAACTGCTGTCTTTTTGTGGTGACTTAAAAGGTTTCTGGGTGTCCTTAAAATATTGCAAGACTTTTCCAAGTATGGGCATGCTGTTAAACCTGTAGGTGGATTTTACTGAGTGTTTATTTAAAGCGTGGAGCCGGTTCAAACTAAGTTTACAACTGAAAGTAACATGTTTTTCTTGTAATATGCCATGTGTACACAAATGTGCACAATACACTACACGTGCGCTATCTGACCCTTAACACTGCCGTTCAATGCAGGCTTATTTGTTTTAGACACAACAGAGTAGTTGTGACAACATAGTGCTTGTGCCTTGCTGTCTGTGCTGCTACACAGTACCATATAAATACATAGCTTAGTATGCAAAGTATCTAACAAATTACAAGTTCTATAATTATGCTTCAATCAATTACAAAAAATCTTTGGACATCCTTTGCACTTGGAGCAAATGTTTGCATTTGAACTACTGTACATGATTAGGGTTCCCTCTGCTGGTTGTGTATGATTTGTGCAACCATGATACTACAGTACTGATGTAAAACTACTCTATGTTCTGTAGATAAAAAAATAAAATAAAAAAATGCTAACTTCTTATATCAGTCACATAAAACCAGACACCAACAGTAATATGTTTGTGATGCAGAATTTAATATTACCACAACATGTTATTTTGCCATATTTTCCATTATTGCAGCATTGTACGTAAAACACTTATAGTAAATAGATTTTTAAAGGTAAAAATGTAAAAAAAAAAAAAGGTGAAAATGTAATATCATGCATCTGGAATGCTATTTAATATTTACATTATAAATCTGTATTTATAATAATTAAAATGATTTAAGTTTAAATACAACATAAATGATTTCTTAAACCATTTTTTAAATTATATTTATTTCGTATTTATAATAATTAAAACTACAAAATTATTAGTAACCCAATTTAGTTGTTTCATTTCAATTTAAATATTTGTTTATTATTATTATTATTTCTAAATATGTTTATTTTTTATTTATAATGTAAACTACAGAATTGCTGGTACATTGAAAAAAGATTGGTGTAGTAACAATTTCACTCAGAAGTAAATTTCACAACTAATTACAAATAAACAGCAAGGAACACAATGAATAAAAAACATGAGATTTTTAAGTAGGAAGACTTGTAAAACGTACTTTAATCAACTTTATTTTATTTATAACTTTGAGAAAATCATATTATTTCTAAAATTACATTTATTTTTATTTATAATTTAAACTACAGAATTGTTAGTAACCCCAGTTAGTGGCTTCATTTATTTCAATGTAAACAAAACAGACTCATCACCAAGAAAGGGTGACCTTTTATTTAATTCTTCAGTATATTTACAGCTTACTAGACATTTGAAACATTTGATTCTCCAAAACAAAAAAGATTGCCCAATAGTACTGATTTGTCCACATATTCAAGTTTACACGCACTGAAATTGAACCAAAAAATAAATTAAACCAACGCACACACACGCATACACACACACACACACACACACTTCAACATTTTAAACACTAGTCCCAAAAAGTCTCACATGGACTTAATAGCTCAGACATTGAAAGCACCTGGCTGCTGCCACTGAATGTGTGGGAACTCTCTCAACGTGGAGTTATAGGGCCAGACATCTAGAGCATATGTACAGTACACGGTCAAGATAAGCTACACGGAGACTAAAGGCACTGCAGCAGGAATATGGCTGTCAGGGGGCGCCACCTGAGCAGACATACAAGGCCCTGCCGCTTGCTAAAGGGTGGAAGTGATACTTCCAGTCCAGCAGGACGTGTACCCATACAAGATCAAAATATACAGGCAGAGCACATAGGGCAGAGTGGTTCAAATGGAAACATATGACTTTAAAGTGCCTCTACAAACATACCAATCCAAATGATAACTTAGCCATTACAAAACTGCTTGCTAAAGATGTCCTGTTTAGAAATCCATGGTTCTTTAATAGATTGGGACGTAAATGTGCTTTTAAGGGAGAAGAGAAATATCAGTGCCTGGAACATCATATTGAAAGGTTCACAGTTATTCCCGACCAATATGGAAAACCGCTTCAGTGCTTTTGAATGCTCTTCACAAATAATAAATTCCCTCAGTGTCACAGATACATTCAATTCACATGCACCTCCACAATTCAGCAGACGAAAGTATGCACATTACAAATATCCCTTTAAATGCTTATTATTACAATAAAAGCAGCAACAACAAAAAAGTTACATCCATCTCATGTTCCCTGTACAGAATAATATTGACTCCTGTACATACTGGCGGACCACTCAGTGGTTTGTGTTGGTGTGCAAATCACAGACATCCTGACTCCACTTTACATTAGCAGGAAGATCTTTATAAAAGCTTTATTTTGTAATTACAATAAGGGGAGCTTGTTCTGTTTTCCTTTGGTGTAATACAGATTGAGATGCTTGTGGTTGGGATCCGCAGAGCTTTTCAGAGTGCTGATCGAGGAGATGCCCTCTAATCTAACATGACCTTGTGTATTACTGTATGTGCTAAAAGCCGAAATGATTCCGAAAAGCTTACCGGATAACCACAGCCTACTATCCTCACGTCCACTGATGCTCCCTGCACATTAAGTACTGGTGGCGCACTTGAGAGACTGAGGTGATTTGTCAGTGCTGAGTGTTTCTAAAAGCTTTCATGGGACACCTGAAAGGACAATGGGTCTTTCCAGAGAGTAACAGTCAGCGTGGGGCCACTTCATATTTCTAGAGGAGCTCAAAATGGCTGCATCTGTACATTCTCAGCAGCCCAGATCTATTGAAACACTTTTTTATAGATATAGTGGCCAGTGGGTTTCATGACCGCTTTATCATAGAGATGCACAGCCATTTTGGTAATTTAAATTGAAAGAAAGAAAGAGATATTTTGACATATTGAGCTGTAGGGTGAAACATTATCAGTAATACAGTACATTTATAGTTATATTAAGACAATCTCCAGTATAAACAGTATAACTCTTTTTTTTTGTTTTTTTACAGTAGTATGTTATAATTTTTTATGAACTGTATAATCTGATATGTGGACAAGATTACTATTTGTCCTCTGATATCTTGCAGGCATCATATTTTCTATAACTTAAGTCTCCCCACTTTTTTCGGACAGGAAGTGCTTTTTTACTCTGCTCTTTCATATAGATATTCCCTGATAGAGGACATGCGGTAGACACAAGCAGAGAGACCAAAGCGAAAGTCATGCTTTAAGTAACACTTGCAGTAGCAGCAATAGCAGCAGCTTGTAAAAAACACAGACAGACGGGGTCAATGTAAAAACAACAAGAAAAAACTAAACAAAACCCATTCAGATATCAAAAAGCATGACTGCCAGAAACTACCATACTCCTGGGCTTTCAACAGCCTTCCATTTCCAGAGAGAAGGATTACTCTTGAAGTACCAATCTTTAGTTTAAACCTCCTCTTCATCTTAGTCATGTCTCGATCCCTTTGCCCGTCTTTGGGGGTTAAAGGTCACAGAAGCATGCTGAGAGCTTGTACAAAGTCCTGAGTGGAGGTTTTGTGAGTTCGTCCGTTGGGCTACTGGTCCTCCAGGCTGGCCCGGTGTTGGCTCAGTGGGGTGAAGGAGATTCTGTGTCTTACATTAGCCCGGTTTGCTCTCGACCTGACCTAGAGCCTGTAGCAACTTCTCCCTGTAGGCAGCGTAACGCTGCTCCACCTGCCGCACACGCTCCTTCTCCTCCTTCTCCAGGATGATCAGGAAGTTCTGCAGCTCAGGGACTGAAAATGCATGCCACTGAAAAAAGACAGAACACCTTATTAATAAAGCCAGACATATGAAATTTTAGCCAGAAAAAAAAAACAGACCTGTCTATTAAACCTATATGTTTTTGTTGGCATGTGTTAGATTAATTGCATGACTTTTATTCAATTGTATTTAATATTTTCTAAATATATATATTAGGAAGTTTAATTTTGCTTTGTAGAGTTTCAGTGGAAACAAAGAATGAAAACAGGAAGATTTGCCTATGAAAATGTTTATATTTATATATAATTTACATATAAATTACATTATCATGAATAATAATAATAAAAAACATAACAAGAATTTAATTTTCATAATGATAAAGCAGGCTAAAAATGTATTTATAAATTATTTTATTTTGTATTTTTTTGCTTTGTAGAGTTTTCTGCACTTCATACAGCAGAGTATGGCAAAGGTCATGGTTTCGATTACCAGGAAAAACAAGAACTGATAAAATGTAAATGTGTACCTTGAATGCATTGTAAATTGCTTTGGATAAAAGTGTGATTAAATATAAAAATGAGTTTATATTCATAATGATAGATCAGGTGAAAAAAAAAGTATAAAATATAAATAAATAAGAATAAGAATATAAAAAGCATTTTATTGCCATAATGATTGAGCAAGAGACAAAATATATTTGCAAAAAAAAAGTAAAATAGGCCGTGTGTCCACTAAAGCATTTTTAGCCAGCTGAAAATGCCAGGTGCTCTGCTGAAAACGCCTAGGTGTGAGCGTTTGAGAGTGCTTCTGCGGCACAGTGTTTTTTTCAGTTATGACTCTTTGGTTGCTATTATACAGAATATCCGCAGACGTACTGTGGCAGACGCATCGTTGCAATCATTATTTTTCATATCAATATTTGTAGTAGTCCGGGAATCCCATTTGGTACAGACATGAATACTCAGAGACAAGAAATATTAACTTCTCCTCCATTGTTGTTTAGTCGTAGCACAAACCGAATGAGTGACAGTTGGTTAGAGTGGTATTTGCCCCGCCCCTCCTCCACCGTGATTGGACGGCTGACTAAAAAGTGACAGTGATGAGTGCTGCGTTTTACCTAAAGTTGAACATTCTTCAACTCCCGGCGCAGAGAAAAAAATGCCCGAGCACTCAGCGCTCAGCGTGAAAAAGATTTTAAAAAATGTGGAGCTCCCATTGAAAAAATACACTAGCCTCGAGCAAAAATGCTTTGGTGGACACACAGCCTAAATATGTTAAATGAATTCATTTAATGATTAAAATACTAGATAATGTTTATTGTGGTAGGCAAAATTTACAAAAATAAAAAATGACACATTTAGACAGAATAGAAAAGCTCACCTCAACCTCGCCAGTCTCATTTTCTTTGAGTACAAAGGACAAGTTCTCTAGATCAGGACCTGCTAACAGCCTCAAGCAGAGTGGACATTCTGATAATGGCAACTTCTGGAAAAGATCTGAAAAATCAAGCAAACAACACCTTAGTATTATAGTAGTATTGTACAATACTACAGTATATTTCATCTTCATTTGAACGCTTACCCTGGCTGTCTCGACGGGTCTGGTGGTAGAGGGCGAACTTGCATGGGTTATCCTGTACCATGAACTTCTTCAGCAGGCCCTGGATGACCTCCCTGACCGTGGTGGTACTGCTGATGTGTAGCTGTTTAACGGCATCGCTGGGCAGGTAGAAGGATGTGCGGTTATCTGAACTATCAGAAGAGGAACATGGTCCTGGTGACTTCTCATCCACAGAAAATACAGTCACAGGCCTACGCAACTTCAAGTGAACCTTTATGAAACCAGTGTATGTGCCATCTGAGCTCTGGGGGATAACAAAACAACTTGAGTCAGGTCATTTCTCACAGTAAAACTCTCAAATTATCTGCAAATGAGTGCACATGCTTTGTTGACAAATCATTACTCACTAATGTCATTCCATTCTCCGTCACTTTGGAGTTGTAGTCATCTATTTTCGCTTTAATCTCATCGTCTGTGAGGGATGTTGGCTTCTCTTCCTCTTCCTCTTTTGTCACATCCTAAAACCAAGATAAAAAACAAGGTTAGATGAGGCATCCTGATATCAAAGTAGAGGCCTTGTGAGGTATTAATGAGCTATGGTAGAAAAAAACATCAACACTGCGTAAAAGCTGATGTTGACATTATAAGCATGACGTAACATGACAGTACAGATGAACTGACGTGAAGGTACTGTTTTAGTCGCATTGGTTGGACTCTCAGCTAGCTGCATTTTTAGTGAACTTTGCTTTTTGGAGTTCCTCTGAGGTAGTTCCTCTAGTTTTTCTATTTTTGTATTGACCCCTGGTATTGAGTGTCAAGAGAACAGAACATCTCTCGGGGAGGAAGAGGGGACAACTGATTGCTGCTGAGATTACAGACACTTACGTTATCAAGATAATCAGTTATCTGCCCTTCACAAGAAGCTATTATGTGACGTATGGTGCTTATATGAAGAAGAAACTACCTTCTGCTGGATTTCTATTGAGCGAAACATGGGAGGATGGGAGATCCTATACATGATGCTGAACTAAATAATAGATCTACTCGATGGATGACTCTAATGCCTTTAACATACAACTTTAAATGAGTTTTGTGGCTTTTAATCCATGACTGTTATCTATTCGCAAGAGTACTGCTAAATATTGGTAAAATGAACTTTAGGAGATTTTAAATTGACAATTTACAGTATTTCCACAGAAAACACTTATGAACAATGATGCTTGTCTTAGCAATACATACACTACTGTTCAAAAACTTGGAGTGGGTAAGATTTTAATGCTTTTGGAAGAAGTCTCTAATGCTCACCAAGCCTGCACCAAGCCTGCATTTATTTGATAAAAAATACAGTAAAATCAGTAATATAAACAGATGTGCTGCCTAATATTTCTTTGGAAACTTTTATACATCTTACTGACCACAAACCTTTGAACGGTAGTGTAACAATATCTTCAACAGGCATTATAATATGTTTATATTTCTAAGTCTGAACATTACTACTACTCTTATTGATCAACTACAGGGGACAATGTCACTCACTGAGATACCAATCTCTCTCTCTCTCTGTCTGTCTGTCTGTCTGTGTGTATGTGCGCGCGTGTGTGTGTGTGTGTGTGTGTGTGTGTGTGAGAGAGTGTGTGTGTGTGTGTGTGTGTAGAGCATGGCAGTAACAGTTTGAATGCCTCTTGAGACTTCTTTAAACAAATCCAGGTTGATCAAGACAGGACTAGAGTCTATGCAAAGACAGTTTTGGCCTCTGAGGAACGCTCTACCAATCCATATTGATTCATCAATAAACAACAGGGAGAAACACCTGTCGTTTAATGTTCTTGTGTGGTCAAATCTCAAAGAATGTGCTATTTTCCCCTTTTTTCCATGAATTTAACAGAACAGGACAAAAGAGATGAAAAAGGGGCTTTTACAGAGAAATTATACATATACATAACTGTTTTCAACAATGCTAATAAAAAGAAATGTTTCTTGAGCACCAAATAATCATATTAGAATGGTTTCTGAAGGATCATGTGACACTGAGACTGAAGTAATGATGCTGAAAATTCAGGTTTGTCATCACGAGAATAAATCCAATTTTTAAATATATTAAAATAATTCACGGCTATTTAAAATAGTAATAATAACAATATTGCTGTTTTTAATGTATTTTTTCTCAAATAAAGGCAATAAAAAAAATCTTGTCCTCCAAATATCTAAAAACGAGCACTTATATGACAAAAACCTTGGTAGGGCACACATTCATTCTAATAGGTAGAAATAATGCAGAAGGAATGATGACAGGGCATGTGACACTAAATACGCCATCATTTCCAGTGACAAAGAAACGGTTCTCTTGGAGGGGTTTTCTATGGGGTGTGACAGTTGCTGAACAAGCCTTAGCAACAAAGATTTTGTCTGAGGTATTTTTAGCTACTAGCTGCATCCCCCGTAATACACGCACGCAAAGTGAGTTTCTCTCTTCTTTTCTGGGACGAAAGAATAAGAATGAAAAAAGCAAGATCATTTATTCATGGAGATCCCTGTGGCGCCAGCATGGCAGCTCTATGTCTCATTGAGCAGAAAGAGATCCACTCATACACACATGAACACACAAACATTAAGCCTAAGCGGAGAGGAAGAAGAATTGATCTGGACGCTTAGCAAACAAATTAACTTCTGCCTGGCCCACACACTACAACTGCCTGACATGGATAACCTCAATGGACAGAAAGTTCAGAAATTTTCTCAAATGAGAAGCTTGTTATGAAAGACAGAATCTGCAGACAGGAAATGTGCAATACTGCTGCACTTGTGCTGTTGCGTCTTGTGGTATGTGGTGGCACGAAAGAAACGTCTCACCAAAAGAAGCGATGCAAAATCCTCAATGAGGGGATAAATTGCTTTAGATCTCAGACTTACTTTTGCACAATAGCACTACATATATAGCCACATATATTCAGATTTTGCAGATTTTTCTTCAATCATTTCAGGCATTGTTGCTATTACGATCAATGAAACAAGTAAAACGCACTTTTTGTTTCGCTAAATTAGCTAAGGAATAATGTTATTTAATTATTTTATTGTTAAAGCTCAAATGTTAGAGTACATAATAATAACACAATGAACAGTAATATCTACCAATGTCTCTGCACCACCAAAACATTTTAAAATATGAAAAATGCCATTCAATGATTTCAGTGACCATTTTCTAGAGTTGACACAGATTAATCTGTTTTGGAATTGATTCATTGAATTGGACTCTGGAGCCATTTTACTATTTAATTTTAAATCAGAGATGCATTTAAAACATCTGTTTTAACACTCTTATACTTGTGAGTTGAGAGACGAGGAAGGATTAAAATTTTTTTTAAATAAACTGTCCTTAAGAAACTTAAAAGCAAAGAAAACTAATCACTTTATGTCTGGCTATGTGTGCCACTGTGACATCCTAGTCAGTGTTCTGTGAAGAGAAGTGTTCAGAATTATGTGCAATCGCTCATGCAATACAAGTCACATTCACTTCTTCAAATTTACCTGTTTTGTATTGTGTGGCGTAGACCAGAGACAATGTTCAATTGTGTGAGATTATCCAAAAACACATCTGTGTCAGTTCAACCAAAGAAGGAAAAAATAGTAAAAAATTATACTGTGCATAGAGAAAATGAAGCTTGTTTTTGTACCATAATTTTTTTTTATGCAAGGCAACATTAATTTAATGTCAATTAAATGTGAGGTGTGTCATTTCTGTGCCCCTAGTGGCACCAAACGGTATTGCAAAAATAATGACAGTTTTTTTTTTTTCCCTAAAACTTCCAGTCCCTCCATCTATTACTGGTCAATAAACCAGATTTACACACCCACCAACGTTTAGTAAAACAAATCCTCTACCATTCCACAATCAATTTGCAGCTCTGATATTCTTTATTAATGTTGACAAGCAAAGATTTACAATTTAGATTTTTATGGCATCCTCATTCTTCTCCCACTAACTTGAATCCCTTGGTGCACACAACCAAAATCTCTCAGGAATTCCTGTATTTGTGACCAGAGGACTGTGAGCTGCTAAATATATCTTTCTCCCTCCCTTCCTCACATCCAAAGCAGAGAAAGTGGCCTTTTGGAACAATGGGCAAAACAATGGAGACCAGTTTAAAAGTTCGCTCTGCTCCTGATGGTTTATTTCATGTTGTATGTGTTTGACTGCACATGTATCTACACGACATCCAAGAGCAATCCAAGCTCGGCCATCATATCCCATCATCTTCACATTTTGAGTATGATTATATGAATGAGCTCTGATCTTCTCTTGAAACACCGTGAGAGGGAAGAGTCCTTTATTGTAACAACCAAAGAGCAAAGAAGTGTGTGTCTGTGGGTGTATTCATGGTTTTCAGCTGGAGAAAGTGTGTAAGAGTGTATGTGAGTGAGCGTGGGAGTTGTAATTGGAATAAAGGGCATCATAAGTGTGTGTGATTGTGAAGTGGGTGGGTTATGTGTGGGATCTCTCCTGTCTATTCACTGAGGCTCACAGTATCTGCTGTCATTCAGAGAGCTGACCCACATCTGAGCTACACATGCACGAGTGCACCACCTCTCTGAAACGAACCTCCTCACTAAAGGTAAAAAACAAACCCTGATTAGTTAGTTTGAAAAAACGCTTCACTGCAGGTTTTATGCTTCAATAGAAATGCATGTTAGAGCAGCTGCAGACACACGATTTCCTTTCAGGTTGAAGACAGAAATCACCTGATGTGAGAAAGCTGTGAATCGCACCTTTCAGATTTTAGCAGTGAGTGAGCAGAAGCGACATCAAACGTGACCCGGATATCCTGTGAATGCACAAAAAACGCTGTCTCGCAGACAACATATTTTTCTAGAACGCTCCTTGTGGTGAATCAAAAATGTCTGGCAAAACATTGTTCTGGCCTTTTTTTTTTTCAAATATATAAAATATATAAACACATACACACTTCGGGAAGTTGCCAAGAACGTGATAAATTTTTTTTCCAAGTTCAAAACATTTATTTGAAACTGAAATCTTTTTGCTGTCACTTTTGATCAATTAAAATTCTCTCTAGAATGCACTTTGTGGTGAACCGGAAATGTCTGGAAGAACATTTCTTTGATAAACAGGGTTAGGAAACAACAAGTAAGCCTGCTTTGAGCAATCAAACAGATAAAAACCTACCTAATCTGTATGAATTGAACAATACGCTTTCCTCTACTGAATAATGACTTTCACTGTTAAATGCTCCAGGCCATTCTTTAAATCAAAATGAGAGTTAAACAAACATAGGAAAGAAAGTCATAGAAGGCCCAAGTGGAGGGTGTTAACCATGTACATAAAGATGCATTGGGGCATGACCTGAGCAAATATCAAATTACAGAGCCTACATGACACGAAAGAAAAGGGCATGGCTGTAAATGCTATCGGAGTGTCATCTCGAAGTCATCACTGCATGTCAGGCAGGTGTCCTTAAGCACAGCACACGGCTACTCCGACTGATTAGGGAACACGATGCCCTTA